GGGGGAAGCGAGAAGGGGCGGGCCTTCTCAGAAGGCTCGGAAGCCCCCTGGCCTTCTGAGAGCTTTTCTAAGCCGTCCCCGAAGGCACAACATGCTTCGCTGTATCACGTTCCCCCTGCGCTCGCCGCCGACTGGAGAAGACGACATACGAGTAGAAACTCTCCGAGCAGGCGCCGAACAGACCCCCCCAGGAGGCGCCAGGAGGCCTCCAAGAGGCCCGAGAGATCCCCCGATATACGCCCCCCGAAACGGCTCCCGAGAGGCAAAAAGGCCCCACCCGAGGATCTCGTACCTCCCCTGGGGTTAAGTCGGGCGCGTCCCCAAAAATACCCCAAGAATACTCCAAAACATCCCCTGGGGGATCTTCGACGAAAAACAAAAAAAAACAAAAAAACAAAAAAAACAAAAAAAAACAAAAAAAACAAAAAAAACAAAAAAAACAAAAAAAAAAAAAAAAAAAAAAAAAAAAAAAAAAAAAAAAAAAAAAAAAAAAAAAAAAAAAAAAAAAAAAAAACTCAAAAAAGGATCCCTGGACTATTTTTGAACTTTTGGGGGACTATGTTTGGGGTATTTCTTATTTTTCGTCGAAAATCCCCCTTTAGGGGGACAGGCCCGACTTAACCCTGATGGTCGGCGGCATGGCGTGGGCCACCGGAGTATGAACCGTCCGCGCTCCGCGCGCAGCTCTCGGATCGGCGCCGGACCCCCCTCCCCGGCGCGCGGAGCGCGCCAGGGGCGGCGCCGGTGGCGCCGCCGGGGGGAGGAGGAGGAGGAGGAGGAGGAGGAGGAGGAGGAGGAGGAGGAGGAGGAGGAGGAGGAGGAGGAGGAGGAGGAGGAGGAGGAGGAGGAGGGGAGGAGGAGGAGGAGGAGGAGGAGGAGGAGGAGGAGGAGGAGTAGGAGGAGGAGGAGGGAGGAGGAGGAAGAGGAGGAGGAGGAGAAGGAGGAGGAGGAAGGAGGAGGAGGAGGAGGAGGAGGAGGAGGAGCCCAGCGGCCGATCCAGCGCATCCGCGCGGAGCTCCCAGAATGTCTGCTTCCGCAGCCGGTTCCTCCTCGGGCACCTGTTGGTGACGCTCTCGGGGTACTTCGCCTCGGGGAGCTTCCCGGCCTCGATGCGGTCGATCAGGGACTGGAGGGCGGCGGCACCCTGGGCCTTCTCCTTCCGGGGAGGACGCATCGGTACAAGGCACAGGCAGAACACAGATCCCCCCGAGGATATGTGAACGTGTAGGACACAGAGGGGAAGAGGAAACTCCAGGAAACATTCAGCAGCACTGGGACCCCTAAGAGTCTGGGCCGATGTGCTTGTGCCCCCACTTGGCCCCTCTCTGGTCCTTGAAGCGCGAGTAGTCCTCGTCGAAGTGGCCCTCCGCCACCCTCGCGCGGCCGGCGCCGCGGCTGCCGAGCGTGTCCCGGGCGTGCGCGGGGAGCTCGAGCACGTCTCGGGCGTTGCCAGAGGTGCCCCTGGCCCAAGGTGCCCCCGGGATTTCTGGGGAGGCCCCCACGGCCTCCAGAGCGCTCCTCACGAGGTCCAGGAGGGCCTCGGAGGAGGCTGATGAGGCGGAGGAGGAGGAAGAGGAGGAGGAGGAGGAGGAGGAGGAGGAGGAGGAGGAGGAGGAGGAGGACCCCCTCACGAAGCCCAGGAGGGCCCTCGGGGGCTCCAGAGCGGAGCGAGCCGCTGGGGGCACCACGGGCCAGGGGGCGGGGGCGCCTGCGGCAGCCCCCGACATGTTCTTGTGCGGGCAGGCGTACGGTCCCAGGCTGCGGTCGTAGGGGTGGACGAAGAAGGCGCCGCCGCACCGGATCTGCTTCACCGCGCCCTCGTGGTCGCCCTCGCCCGGGCGGCGGGCACCAGGGGCCGCAGGCGCCGCTCAAGAGGTGCCCACGGCCTCCCGGGTGCCCCCCCAGCTGGGCGCTCGATCCCTGCGCCTCGCGAGGGGTGCCCTGGAGGCCACCTGGGGGCACCGTTGGGCCAGGGGCACTCCTGGCACCCCCCGAACCAGGGGGCAACGGGGAGGGGGTAAGGCTCCTGAGGAGGCGGCTTCTTCGAAGGCGACTGGCCCATACGTCTATAGATGGGGCCCGCGCCTCCAGAGGAGCAGGAGTGCTTCTGAGAAGCCTGCCCCACTCCCACTGCCCCCCTTTCTGCGCGTGGCCGACCTTGGTCAGCCCCTCAGCGAAGATGTCCTCGAAGACGCTCCCCAGGCCCGCGCTCTCCACGGGCATTGGCGCGAACCTCGGAGCCGGCCGAGCCGAGGCAGCGGCAGCGCAACGTCGGTCCCCCGACCCCTCCTGAGGTCGAAGGGCACCAGCCTTCCAAGTTGTCAGCCCAGCCGTGGCGGCGAGGAGGCTCCCGAAGGCCAACCACCATTGCCTCAACTCGCCCCCCTGTTTGATGGGACTGTTTTCCACCACCACCACCACCATAAGTTGGAGGGGCAAGGGAGGAGGAGGAGGAGGAGGAGGAGGAGGAGGAGGAAGCGGAGGAGGAGGAGGAGGCGGAGGCGGAGGAGGAGGAGGAGGCGGAGGCGGAGGCGGAGGAGGAGGAGGAGGAGGAGGAGGAGGCGGAGGAGGAGGAGGACCCCCTCCCCCTCCAACGTATGGTGGCGGTGGTGGAAAACAGGCCCATCGCTTTCAGAACCCCTCGAAGCGGTCGCGGTTGACCACGAAGAAGCCGTGCTTGATCGTCGTCGAGTTCCCCACCTTGCAGACGCCCTTCGCCGAGGCCCGCGAGCTCAGACACATGTCCGGCGGCTGCAGCACCACGGCCATCGGGTCCTGCTGGAACAGCCTCGCCGCCACCTCGACCAGCCCAGTCTGGTTCTCGCGGTACAGGAAGGTCGTCGAGTCCTGGAGGGGCACGGAGGGGCGGCAAGCAGGAACCCTCGGAGGCCCGCGCGGACTGCCTGGATCGGCGCCGACTTCCCCCCCCCCCCTGGCGGCGCCCCGGCGCCGCTCCTGGCGCGCTTCGAGCGCCAGGCAGAGGGGGGGTCCGGCGCCGACCCGAGAACTCCGCGCGGACGTCCGGAAAGCCGTGCTCGTGCGCATGCTTCTTGTCTTGAGTCGGGCCCGTCCCCCTACAGGGGGAGTTTCGACGAGAAATTAAAAATGCCCCAGAAATAATCAAAAAATAATCCTCGAAGAGTCAGGGGGCTATTTTGGGGGTACTTTTTTTACCTTTTTGAGGAATCTTGGGGTATTGTTTTTTTTGTCGTCGAAAATCCCCCTGTAGGGGGACAGGCCCGACCTAATTCTTGTCTGAAGCTCCAGGAAGATGCACATGTCGACCTGAGGGGGAGCGCCAGGGTTGGGCTCTGGGGGCGAGGCGTCCGCCCGGAAGTGGGCGCGGCCTCGCCGACGCGTGTCGGCGGTGGGGCCCCCGACAGCGAGCCCGCGCGTGCCCGAGGCTGGAAGGGCACCCGTCGAAGAGCAGCGGGCGAGTGGGGCGTGGTGCGCCCCCGGATCCCTGAGACCATCCCCTGGTGGTCTTCGGCCCCCAACTCTGGGGGAACAATTTGTTTTGGTCTGCGGGGCGAGAGCGAACCTCTTCCGGTAAAAGCTGGGCGGGCTACGCACAGCTCTGATTGGGGAGACGGGGCACAGGCGGGCGGGGCCTCAGGCGGAACTCTGGGGGAACAAAGAGAGGCACAAACATAAAAATTCGGAGGGGTCCGCGCGGATTTCTCGGATCAGCGCTGGGGCCCCCCGGCGGCGCCTCCGGCGCCGCCCCTGGCGCGCTCCGCGCGCCAAGGAGGGGGGTCCAGCGCCGATCCGAGAAATCCGCGCGGACCCCCGAGTTTTCATGCTGAGTCATGCCACTCTTCCTTCCCCCAGATGGGTTTCGGGGGGGAGGCCACTTTTCCGGAGTCGAGGCCCGAGGTCTTCGAGCACCCTCGAGCACCGAGTTTTTGTGTTTGTGCCACTTGTTGTTCCCCCAAGGACCAGCGCCGATCCGAGAAATCCGCGCGGACCCCCGAGTTTTCATGCTGAGTCATGCCACTCTTCCTTCCCCCAGATGGGTTTCGGGGGGGAGGCCACTTTTCCGGAGTCGAGGCCCGAGGTCTTCGAGCACCCTCGAGCACCGAGTTTTTGTGTTTGTGCCACTTGTTGTTCCCCCAAACTCGGGCCTCCGGCGGCCCTTCGGGGCGAGCCCCGGGCTGGCACCGCCGGGAGCGCTCGCGGCGGGGCGCGGCCGCGGGAGTCTTGCCCGAGGCCGGGGAGCCGCCGAGAGCACCGACGAGGGTGCTCGAAGACCTCGGACCTCGACTCCGAGAAAGGAGGAGGAGGAGGAGGAGGAGGAAGGAAGGAGGGAGGAGGGAGGAGGGAGGAGGGAGGAGGGAGGAGGGAGGAGGAGGAGGAGGAGGAGGAGGAGGAGGTCCCCCAGTGGACCTCATCTGGGGGAACGAGGAGTGGCATGATTCAGCATGAGAACTCGGAGGTACGCGCGGACTTCTCGGATCGGCGCTGGACCCCCGGACCTCCGAGTTGTCATGGTTATGTCATTCTTCGCTCTCCTACCATCGCCCCCGCCCCCAACCAAGGGCTCCCAACTTCGAGCTTCGCGCTGCGCGAAGAACGAAGCGCGAATAACTTCGCGCTCTCGCGCCGCCTCCCAGGGGAGAAGGGGAGGATGAGGAGGAATCGGAGCCGAACCGCGAGGCGCGAAGCGCGAAGAACGTCGTGCCCTCGAGGGCGCCCCTGCTATGTTTATGCCATTCTTCGCTCCCCTACCATCGCCCCCGCCCCCAACCGTCGCCCACGACGACCTCTGCGTCCGCGTCCGCGCACAGCTCCAGGAAGTTCAGCATGCCCAGGAGGCGCGCGGCCCTCCCCTTCTCGTCGAGCCTCGAGATGTTCGAGGGCGCGTCCGCGGCCAGCCTCCCCGGGGGCTGCTGAAGGTGCCTCTGGCCCAAGGTGCCCCCAGCGTTTCGCTCCGCTTTGGGCCCTCCTGGACCTCGGGAGGAGCGCTCTCAGGGGAACAACAAGCGGCACAAACATAAAAA